TTATATCGTATATTAAATTTTTATTTAAAATTTATATTTAAAAAATTAAAAAATCAAATTAAACCTTTTAAAAATAGGTGAAAATAAATTTTTTTAAGGGTATTAAGTTTATATTCTAATAAAAATAAAGAAATTGAGAACATTGAAGTTAATTCACTTTCTTCAAATAAAAATATTTTATATGGTTTAGACCGTACACCCCACGCAAAACCAAATGGGAAGTCTCAAGGAAGAGAGTTGCAAAGTGGAGGTGCTTTTCTAGAGTTTGAATGTTTAAATTTCCCTCTCCTGATACATGACCGTTGTAGCTTCAAAAGGCGACCTCGTCATCCTCTTTGATCATAATAACGGTTCATTATGGGCAGGCTTAGAGCCAAATCAGACTACGAAGATCTCAGAAAGGCTCGCATCTTAGAGAACCAGGTCCCTTTCTCCCTCTTTCACTGAAATCTTTCCTTTTTATTTTTTTCTTTCATGGACGAACATGTCTTAGACGTAGAAAATCAAAGTACAGGCTCGGTTGGCTTCACTGGGTCTGCACAAGACCCTCTCCTACCTTCGATCACTTGCATCAGTAGCAAAATCACAGAAAACCCCAGTCAGAAAATACGAGAAGAAAGCGTACGGAATCACCCCTTTGCGCCGCTCTAATCGTTTGAAACGAGTGACAGCCTATTCGATTCCAACCAACAATTCTTTGCGGCGTTCTAACCGGCTCAGAGATAAATCTAGAGAAGGTCCGTCACCTGGAATTTCTTTTTCTTCTATTTCTCTCTAAAATGAATTTAGTTGCGAACTGATTGTAGATGGAGTTGAGAAGAAAGATCATCATTCTGGCGGCCGAGGAGATGAGAAGAGCCTTGCCAATATGCCGTTGGTGAAAATAGAGGGGCAGGGTGCAAGGGAACAATTATCACCAGAGATTCTGCTAGGCGCTGCAGTAGCAAAGCCAGGGGCACTGTTCGTAACCCTTATGGGATTTGCTGTCATTTCTGCAGGTTACACTATCTTATTTTCTTCTATTACCTTTCATATTTTTCAACCGAGGAGTTAGCGAGAGAGTGGACCGTTTTAATTACTGGAATGATCAAACATCAATGGTCTAAGTTCAGTAAGATTCAGTGGCGGGGCAAGAAATTCATGTTAGTGGGGGGAAAATTAAAAGTTACAATATAGTATATCAAATAGAAAAATTGTCTGCAGCCTAGATAGCAGTGGATTGCACAACAGGAACTGTTAGATATTAGGGGTCCTCTCTCATTCAATTGCTCTTGATTTGCAGTTCGGTGTGCAGTTCAGTCACCGGACTGCAAAACAGGAAACTCATATCAAATTGTATAAAAGTTTGGCGGCCTACTGAGTTTTTAAAAGAAATATTTGTGAAATGTAATCTATTATCAGAAACGGATTGATTTGAGCTGGAAATTGCCATTGTAGTCATTTCTACTTTGGAGCTGGAAATAACAGAAATATAGTTTGAGAAATGTTGATGATTAAGAGGACATACTGATTATTTCAAACTTGAATTGACAAAAAGAATTGCTTGATTGGATTGAAAATCCAAAATTTGGTATACTATTTAATTTACTACTTTGAATTTTGCCCCATTAAACATGATTTCTTGGCAGCGCTACTGAATTGAACTTAAAAACATTTATATAGTTTTCATTTTTCTGTATTTCATTAGAAGGCTGTTAAGTCTTTCATCGTAAAAAAGTAGTTACCTACTTTACTCAACACAAAATGCTATAAAGTACTAAAAAAAATTAGTGGCGATAGGAATTTAAGAAAGTAAAGTCATGGTGTAAACAATAATTTTGTAAATTTTTTGTATCTACACATGGCATCCGGATTATATATATTCTGATAGAAACAAGCCATAAGGGTCCCATCCTCCTGCCGCCCCCCCTACCCCAAATCTTGATTATTGTAATGCTTCCAATGATGTTTAATTTTCCCATGATCATTGTATTTTATTTCCACTTATCCATACCCCCGCAGGAAAAAGACATTGTGTGCTGAGGAAGATTGCAAGAGATGTGGTAATCTTGACTTGGATCAGCCATGCATAGGTTAGTTTCATGCAATGAAACATAAAAATAAATTTAAAACAAAATAAATAGTCTTTAACATTCCGCATGTTTCAAGCAGGAAAGACAGATTGCTCGGTTTGTCACTCTAGCAACGGTGTTCTATGCAGAGCTTGTCTCAATGTTAGGTATGGTGAAGGTAAGTTCTTTAGCATAAGAAGAGATTATTTGCACAGCATGGATGATGTAAATTAGCAGCAAATAAAAGAGTGCAATATCTGGATGCCACCTCGCAGCTTCTATCCTAATTGTTTTTCGTAGCAAACTGAAATACAAAAAGAGAGAAATTCTGATTTTTGTATTTCAATGATACTTTTCTATTGAAAAATGCAAAAATATAGTGGAGAAAGAGCAATGGGATCTAATTTTTACAATTTTCACGCTTTCTTAGAACTGGAAGAGGTGAGAAATAACAAAAGTTGGATGTGCCCTTACTGCATAGAAGAAAAAGGGACAAAGCCCTACTGGATATGTAACAGGTATGTAACTTATCATATAGATTACTTTCAGCTTCGGTTATAATTTTTTCTATACAATGATGAGGAAGATATATTGTGAATATTCATTTGGCCCTCTCAATAAAAATTTCTGGTCCTGCCACCGTTTAATCTCCATGGAATAGTTCAGTATGCTTGAAGAACAGAAACATGGCTCCAACTGGTGTAGCAATATTTAGAGGTAAGTAATGATTTTTGACTTCCGCAATGATCTAAAGCACATTGTTATTGCCCAGCTCCTGTAAGTTAAAAGCCATTTATGTATTGTTTTCCTCATTATTGAACTTGAAGCACGGGAGCTGGGATACAAATCAGTGGCACATCTTCTGATGGACGAGCTTCAGCGAGGAGAGATGCTTAATTAGAAGTTGAGAATGAAACGATCCTCTAAGACTGTTGTTAGCAACGGAATAGTTCTTGCTTCTACCCTATGGCTATTTTGATGTTGCTGACAATTGAAGTGGAAACTTTGACATTGTAAATAAGGAGTGTAGTAAAAAAACTCGCAAACAAATGTCAACATTCAACGCTTATATATATGTATATCGACTTGTTTAACATGATCATCTAAATATTGTGAGTTAATTAACTAAGCATTTATGGGATATCCTTTTGCTGTTAAGAGCTAGGGTTAGGATTTCCTCTTTTCCTAACGCGTTAATCCCTTCCTTCAGGATTTCTCCCTTCCATGGGAGTTTCATTCTATTTTTCCTCTCATCTTTTCTTTTATCTGTTGCTGGTTGGTTTGTTAACCACGATCAAGGAAGATGGTTATGGATCTAAGACTGCAGAGCGTGGAACGGTTATGGGTGGCAACCTTGACGGCTGGCTTCTTGGAGGACTTCTGATTGAGGGCGCAATCAAGGATGGCGGATTATCGGTAGCGGGTGTGATTCAGGGAGGCGGGTGCTGATGGTCTAGGTTTTTACTTCCTCTGGTCGGTTTTGCTCTTGCTTGCCTTGAGGGTTCTGTTTGTTCCGAATCATATCGTGCAAGGGACGGGCGGTCAGTGGTTGCGCTGTGGGCCTAATCATGCTACCTTCGGGCAGCCGCCTGGTTTATTGGCGGAGAGAAGAATATTTGAAGAGGGCTCAGTGGAGAGAAGGGATGGCTTGGGCCTGATGATGGAATTGCTAGGTGTCATCCGAGGAAGGATCCACGGATTCTCTTTGGTGGCTCCTATGGAGGATATTATTGGTCCCTCTCCAGGATAGTCCTTGTTGAAGACATCGGTATGTAGTGGGCAGGCAGTGTTACATGTCGATTTTACTGCTTTCCCCCTGAATCCTGTGGTGCAGATGGGATACTTAGCAGCTCTAGATGCCCAAGGGGTAATTATCTATTCACACAGCTCTCTGTAGCCGCTCCCATGATCAATACCTACAAATTGCAATAGATGGCCATTTGTTTCTAATTGACTCAGTTGTAGTAGAAGTATTATCTTCTTCTGTTATAGATTAGATTTCTTTGCTTGTATGGCCCCTGTGGATTCTATTTATAACATTTTTTTCATCTTTCGAATTTTTTTCTCCATAGATATCTTTTAAAAGTAACAATTAATTAGCACTTGACCCGACGGATCAACTGACAACCTGCCAACTTGAGGTGCATTTCCTCTTTTCCATGAAACCCGCCTCTTGACAACTTGCTTAAAAAAAAAAAAAAGTAACAATTAATTAATTCATGCTTTATTGACACCAATGATGGAATACAAGAATAGTAGACGTAAGTAGGATACAGCATTACAATGTGGCGAAAAAGAAAGGCCAAAAAAAGAAAAAGAAAAATCATCAAAAATTGGAAGTCAATCCATGAGATAAGGGATACCAGCAAAATTTAAGGCTTACTTTTGTTAGTGTTGTAATGTTCTGCACGCTGTATTGAAGTGATAGGTGAATTTATCTTTTATAATCTCAAAAATATGTAATATTAATTAAAATTAATTAATAAAAGTATATAAATAATTGATTAAAAGATAAATTAGAAATTTACATATTTTTAGAAAATACAAATAGCAAATGACAAAATAAAATAAATAAATTTGATTTAATAAAAAATTATGAGTTAGAGGTAAAGTTTTAGTATTTGATCTAAAAAAAATAGATAGTTATGTGTAAAATCAATATTTTTGACTAATTTTTAGCACTAAAGAGGGTTTTTTGAGGAATAGAACAAGAGGGAGGACATGGCAGAGAAATTAATATTAAAAATTAAAGACTTTCTTTTTAATTTTTTGAGCCAAAAATATTAGTGATAAAAGGCAATTTTTATGTTTAATAAATTAGTCTTGATTTTCTTGGTCCAAAGATTAGCCTTAATTAAAGAGTCACTAATTGTTATATAGAAAAAAATAGATATTTATCTGTAAAATGAATATTTTTGACTAATTTTTAGCACTAAAGAGGGTTTTTTGAGGAATAGAACAAGAGGGAGGACATGGCAGAGAAATTAATATAAAAAATTTAAAGATTTAAAAAAAAAAATTTAGCCAAAAATATTAGTGATGAAAGGCAATTTTAATGTTTAATAAATTAGTCTTAATTTTTTTGGGCCAAAGATTAGCCTTAATTAAAGAGTCACTAATTGTTATATCAAGATTTTGTTTTGAATTTAATGACAAATTCTATAGAGTGAGTAATAATAATTATTTCTATGAATATTAAAAATAATTAGGTAAATAAAATAAATTTAAGGATAAAATCCCTAAAATTAAAAGTGTAAGATTTGATTTTAGAATTTTTCAAAAGACAAGTACGCGCCTTCGTCGTTGGATGAAGGCACGATTTGGCGCTGTTGGGGTTCCAGAAGCCCAGAGGCAGGTTTCCGGTGTTATATTTCCAGAATAATACTTTTCAAGAAGAAAAAAAAAAAAAAAAAACGAACGGATCAAACTTCACTGCCGCCGCTCCTTGCAAGAACTATATCATCCAAACACAACGACATTAATTCTCTCCAAGTATCCAGTGTCTAAACACATCAAAGTGGAATAACACAATACTACAGCAGATCGACACCAAAAACACGTGCATCAATAATAAAACACACACAACAAGACATAAAACTAAACTCACACCTTATTTAGGAAGCAAATACTAGTTTTTGCTTCGAACTTCAAAACACATACACATAATAAGACTCTAGAATAGGTCGGCCCATACCTTACGACCTAGCAAAGTGATTCGTCTTCTTGCTCCAATCCTGTAACGTGCTGGGAAGCCGTCCACACGCTCAAATATAATCCTGTCGCCAACTTTCAGTTCTTTCTCACGGACATAACGGCGCCACCCTGATCTCAAAACGGGTCGTCGGTTGACATTCTGTCGGACGTAGTAGCCAAAGGTCCACTCGCTTTCCCCCACATCCATGACTGTCATATTTTCAGACCGTCCTCCTTCAACTTGCGGCATTTGGTTCATGAAATGAGTTGGGATTACTAACATGGAACCAACGTCTGTTCTCGTCAGTTCCTTCACAAATCTTGCCATTCCCAGATTGCTTGGTGAACTCTTGGACTCTCTTTCTTCTCTGAGGTTTACTCAAATAAAAGTTTCAGCATCTGCTGAGAAGAAGAATCGACCGTGTGATGGCGGTGGTTTCACCAAGTTTTAGCATCTGAGAAAAAGTATCGACATGGTCTCACCAGATTTTAGCATCTGCTGAGAAAATGTATCGACCCTGTGATAACGATGGCCATGCACTACTTTTTTAATTGAACAGTACTTGACAAACGCTGGAGTAATTTAATTGGTCAAGCATTAACAAAAAAAATAGAAAATCGACCCCGTGATAACTATGGCTTACTTGACAAACGACGGAATACTTTAGTTGGTCAAGAATTAATAAAAAAATAGAAACTTGTCCTCCTCGACGCATAAAACAGGTAAATATCCGCTATCTTACCTCTAGTTATAAATGTTATAATATTTTATGGTATTATAAATTTAAAATATAATATATTATTATATAATTAATTTTTTATTTAAAAATTTATTAATAATATTATATATATT